AGAATTCCCCATGCTGGCTGGGAATTCTGGGAATTGAAGTCCACTCATCTTAAAGTGGCCAAGTTTGGACAACACTGAAGTAGGGCTATAACTGAAGGCTTATAGCCTTGCCACACTGTCATTTTGTTCTATTTTTCTTTGTATAATTTTATTAAAAAATTTTAAAAAGGAAAATAAAAATAAAAACTAATATAAAGTAAGAAAAAGAAAAGAAAAAGAAAGAAATCAAAGAGAAAGCTAAAAGTGGAAGAAAGGGGAAAAAAAAGAAAAAGAAAAAGGGAAAAAAGATACAGAGAAGTGGCTTCCAATCTTCTTTACAGCTCTTTACAGCAGTTATAAGTACAATTATAAATTTACCTCTTATTTTGTGGTTACAACATAACTCTCTTGTTTCTATAATCTATCCTATATAATCATCAATACCATAAATCATAAGTTCATTTTTTTCCATTTTACAACTTTCACTTGTTGTAGAAGGAAGCAGGAGTCCAGGAAGACTCCAGTCAGCTCCTTCAAGTGTTGCATGAGTCTGCTGAGAGCAACCAGCAGGTTCAATGTTACTGTTTAGCTCTTTCTTTCATAGGGTGAAAAGGAGACCAAAGCAGTATAGTACTTTAGTAAACATATTAAAAGTTAGTGTCTACCTGGATCGGTGATCAAGACTTGTAATGTGCGGCAATAGTCAACTTTATACTACAATTTTGCCAATATTTACCAAAATTGCACAGTGATTTTTTGAAAAATGCAATGCTGTTGTGTTTTTATACATGTGTCTTTGTGTGTATGCATTATCTGTGAAGAGAAATTTAAAAGGCAGGGGCTGTGTATGAATATTTCAGGGCTGGTATAGCAGTAGGACAAGTGAGGCAGATGTCTCAGGTGAGGGAAGGTGAGGAGAAGTGGAAGGAAGGAAGGAAGGAAGGAAGGAAGGAAGGAAGGAAGGAAGGAAGGAAGGAGGAGAACAGAAGGAAATTAAAGATATCTAACAATATATTTAGCATTTCCTAAGCTACTTGGAGTCCTCAAATGCAGTAGAGAACAGTCTCCAATTAGCAGTGTTGCTGTGATCAGCTTCGATGTGTAGGACAGGAGGGAGATATCATTCTGCCATTTGCCTCTGGTCTACCCCTGTATTTGTTCAGAAAGATGAACTGTATAGTTATTTAAAAATGTGTTATTTTAAGTCCAAAGTCTTGCTGACTCTTGACACATGAAACAGTGGGTGTAGTCTCAGAAGACAAACATTAAAGAAAGAGTTGTTGTCGATTTAAATGGGAACTAAATTGTTCCAGATGGGCTGAACAGTACGTTTTTGAAATGTTACACTAATTGCTTATCAAAGGATCATATAGTTTTGAATTGGTAAGCATTTTATAATAATATCTATTTGGATGTATCAAATTCTTTGCTTCTGAAAATAAGGCTTCTCTCCCTGAATAGCTGAGGATTTTTATCCTCGCATTTTGTTAGATAAATATCCTATCCAATGCAAATATATGTCTAGTCTCAACTCATTGTAAGGTCCCCTTTCTCTTTTAGCAGCATGCTAAATATACTGTGGTTCAGTGGTTCTTGTCTTTATACCATTTTGCCTACTATTAAGCTTTACAGTAAGACTTTTGAGCAAATATGCATAAGACTGCACTAATAAATGCTGATATTTAAGTGATTTTACCTATTTTAATAAGAAAATATCATTAAGAACCCAGAAACCTTTGAAATGTTATGTATTTATTATTTATGATATCTCTAAGTGATAGAAAAGGTTCCATCGCATGAAATCCTTGCACTTAGAATATTTTTAAAAATACAGTTTTTGGAAATTGCAATATGTTACACCAAAGCAGAGAAGTTTGTGAGATCAAGTAATTGTGAAAAAGGTTATACACATTTTGCATCTTGTAATGAGAAATTTTTTCATATGAACTCATGTTTTATATGAAAGGTATTTTTCATGTAAATGTTTTGTTGCAGTGACATTTATACCGTATATACTGAAGTAAACAAATTTGCATTTTCTGTGCCTCTTTTTAATTATTATTTAATGTGCCTGTAGAGATTTTATACTAAATCATGTCAATTGTAGGTTCGGATATATGAAGAAGACTTCAAAAAGGAAAGATCTGATAGAGAGAGACTCAGTGAAGACAAGGAAGTTCTACAAAAACTTAATGAGCAATCACAGTCCCAGTTGAACAAATTGAAATCTCAGGTACATATCAAAACAGAAATATCACTGCCGAAACGCATATATTTTATTTTTAGTTTCTCACTTTCAGTGTAACCCAAGAAGTTATATTGACCAATAACTGACATAATATTTTATATGAGGTCCTTATCCTGGATGAAATCATTCCAGACACAACTGCAGGGGGATCAGATAACAAAAATGGCATTGTGCTAATATGATGCAAGTTCTGTGCCTTTTTTACATGCATTGTGACATTGCATGCATTTACTAATGATGGCACAACACTGCTTTTGTCACTTTGATAAAAATGATAGATCTTGCTGGTGCCTAGGAATAATTCTTAAGTTGTGTTATTGGTCAAATGTGAAATAAATACTTTTTCAAATGAAGTTAGTGGGATCACTTGTGACTAATACACTGTCTCTTTAATTATTCTGTAAATAACATAAAATGGTCTGTTTTTCTACCTCTTCTTTTTGGATTTCAGAATATTAAAAACAAACAAAAAACAAAGTAATAATGGCTCTGAGTAATCACGCTTATAAGACTGCATTGCTTGTTGAGTATATTTACACTTTAAGCCTGTGCTGAAATCTCTTGAACTTAATGCAGCATGCTAAAAAATAATTGTGCACAGAATCTCAGCCATAAGAAACTTGGTGAGAAAAATCTGTATTTGGAGCCTAAATTTCAGTATGAGATCAGCTGTGATCCTCTCAGTAGAATTGTAACTCTTTTATTAAATCTTTCAGCCAGTTTTCCCTAATATGTTCCCTTCCAGATATGTTGGATTCTCCCAGGACCATCATTATAATAGTTCTGGCTGGGGGATTGTGGGGGAGAGGAAGTTCAATGTATCTGGAGCTGGAGACTTCTGCCAAATCATAGTAGAAAAGTAGCATTGTGCCAACAAAAAGTTATAATGTAGCTATCTCTAGGTTCTTGGAATACCAGCTCTTACCCTGGTCAAGATCTCACTTCTGATCAGTCAGTTTATAATTCTTCTAAGGAAAAGAAGTCTGCAGTGCACAATTCCTTTTGGTTATTTCCTTTAGAACTTGTTTCCACTCTGACAGCTTAACAGAAAGAAAAAAAAGGCATACTACTGTACCTACTAAACAGTTCATAAATCTGAATGATTTATGAACTCTATATTGGATAAGAAAAGTGAGTCTAATCAGTGAGTAACCCAGGATAATCTGTAGCTAAGACATCCATGTCAGGAATTTGTGCAACAGTTTCTTGAAAATCATTGACAAATTGAGGTTCCATGGCCTTTCTGAATAGGACATGCTCTTACGTAGCATTTATAGATGTTCACCTTGTATTCAACCTAAACCAGCTTGTTTAGTTTATTCATTGAAATGACTGTCCATGACAGGGCTTATTCAGAAGAAGCAATATATGCTTTATTAACATTACACGAACAGTTATATTCATCCGTGTCATGTTTTACTTTGCAGTACAGTATAAGGAAGGAATATTGGGTATGTTCACCTTCTTGAGTTATTTATAAAAATAATAAAGGCGGGATAAAAAAACTAAGTCTAAATCTAAATAATCACATTACTGAGTTGTTAAACGGCACAGCGAAAGAACCACTAGAGGGCACAAGATGCCCTGTTTTCAGCAATTCTGAAATTCATTGCTTTTAAATCACTTCCTGATCTTGGCAGATACACCTTTTCATGGGGGCTTGTTATTACATAACTAATACTTACTGCCTTGCCAGATGCAGGTCCATGTTATTCTGAAACTCATCAAGGTACTGACCAATGTGTATTTAGACGAGGCGGCAAGGCTTCTCTTAAAACTGTCATCTTTTTAATATGCATAAAAGTTCATGAAATGCCGTCAGTGTGGAAACTTCAGCATTGGTGCAATATTTAATATTATTTTTTATATAATAATGTTTATTAAAGCATACAGATATAAAGCTAATACAAACTAAGGAAAATATAAAAGAAAAAAGAAAAATGCAGAAAGAAAGAAAAAAATAAAGAAATGTAAATAGTTAAATAAAATAAAAAGGAAAAAGAAAAGAGATATATAAGAAATGACCTCCCCTTTATCAAGGCAAGTACAAACAATTTCAGAACTTATCATCTTGTCTAATATTATAACAAAATATCTCTTCTTCCCATATCTCATCTCTTATCTATAAACAAATTTTAAAGCCTGGTCATTCAGTCCTGATCAGCAAAGGTCCATTCAGAGTTACTAGAAATAACAACATCTATATTTTAACCTTAAATCAAATAAGCCTTTGTATCCCTTTACTTTACTTTTAACACCATACCTTATCACTTTCTCTGAAAATACAACAAAAAATCTCTTCTTCCCATATCTTATCTCTTATCTAAAAACAAATCTTTAAACCCTTGTCATTCAGTCCTGGTCAAGAAAAACCCATTAAAAGCTACTAGAAAGAACAACATATATAGTTTAACCTTGATCAAATAAGCCAACTTTATATTCACTAGAAAGAACAACATATATAGTTTAACCTTGATCAAATAAGCCAACTTTATATTCACTAGAAAGAACAACATATATAGTTTAACCTTGATCAAATAAGCCAACTTTATATTCACTAGAAAGAACAACATATATAGTTTAACCTTGATCAAATAAGCCAACTTTATATTCCTTCTTTTTGCTTTTAAAATCTTGTTATTTAATCCATTTAATAGTGTCCCCAAAGTGTATTTCTTTTCATTTTTTCTTTGTCTTTTCTCAGGAACGTCTTCATAAGTTTAACACATCTCTTTTGTAAGTTCAAGATAAGAAGGTTGACCAAGTTACTCTTCTGGTTTATTATTTGTGTGTCCCTTTTAGTTATTAAAACAACAGCCAGTTTCATTAGTAAATCCAGTGTAACATTTTTTTCCATATCATTCTTGTACCTTGCCATTTTTAAATCTACATCCAAGACAGCCTCAGTCTCAGTTGTATCCTTTTCTATCTCCTGTTTAAAATCTATTTTTATGGTAGCAGAAAATCTTAAGAGAAATTTCTGAGCGCATTATTCCCAGATATCCTTGAATTCTTCCAAAGTTAGGATATTTTTCTCCATTCTGTATTAGTGGGTCTGTTCTTCTTTAATTAAAACCTTTAGTGCTTTCTGGTTGCTTCTAGTGTCCAGCTTTCAAAGTCTCCTCTTATCATGTTTTTCTCTAATCTACAACATTTTCCCATGAGAAGATTTCTTAGATTTAAAATCTTCATATATTTTTAAATAGAATTTTAAACAACCCACAGGAAGGATTCTAATAATTAATTTTAAAATCTTACTTCTAATCTATCTAGCCCTTTAGTCTGTTTATAACTTTCCAAAATCAACATTCTAATAACCCTTTTGCTGTTTAATTCAATATATATATATATTTAAGTCCTTAAACTTACATGAAACCTCTTTCACTGAGGATTGAAGGACAGTCACCCAGTGTAATGAAACTTGTCATTCTGAAGGTTCTTAATATCCAAAAACCAGTTAACCAGCAAATACAAGAAGTCATTAACAAAGGAAGTGGGGTGAACCCAGTGTCCGTTTGGAGGCTCTGAACTGTGGCTTGGGCAAAGCTGACTTTCCCTCAGCTCCCAGAGCTCTAAATACTGCTGGAGATCATTATTTAATGGTGGTCTCATGTGGACCGTCTGTATGGAGCACTTGTGGACAATCCCAGGTCCTCCTCTTTATCCAGAGAGGAATTCTGAGGAGCTGATCCATTCACTGGCTCCTTGTTCTACCACAGTCATCAGTTTTCCTGAAAGCAGAGCCGTCTTCAGCCCACCATTGCTTCCCAATATTTAATATTTCTTCATATGGCTGCAACTTGTTTCTTTATAGCGATATATAATACAGTATATATTTTTGTTTCATGGGCTGAATTTCTCCTCTTCCACAGATTAAACACTACCAGACAGAAAATGAACTTCTTCAGAAGCGAGTAAAACAACAGGTTTGTGTTTTCTGATTTAGATTTATTTAGCAACTCCTAGAGCCCCTAGGAGCCAGGCAGAATATAAATTTAATTATTATTATGGGTAATCTATAGTTAGATTCACAGTCTAAGACTGGTGGAAATAATTCAAGTCCTAACCAAGGACCTAAAAATTATTAAGGTAGCATCTGAGAATATAAGCAGTTCCAAGCAGGGTATTTTTTTTTGCAAAATTAGGATGTTCAGGTCCAATAAATTCAAAATTTCCAAATATTGAGGGAGTCCTTTAGGTATTGCTCCAAGTGCTCCAATCACAGCTGGTATAACAATGGATTTCTTTTTCCATAAGCATTCAACTTCTATCTGATTACTATTATTATTATACCAAAATTGACTAAGATTCAACTCTATACTCTACTGAAACCTAATGAACTAAAGTTGCCTTTTTGTGATGGAATGGACTTATGAAGGCCATGGTCAGGGACATAAGCATGTTCTTAGCCCCCAACAGGAATGTGGGAAGTTCAAGAAGATGAGGCTGGCATCTCCCTAAGGAATTCACAGTGTTGTGGCTGGCTGGCTTGGGAACTTGGGTTTAGTCTGGTGAGATTTCTGTCTTGAAGTTGAAGCTAATAAACGCAACAGAACTGTATTTGCATTGTCTCTTGGAGTTCTTTGGGCTGAACCCGACACTTTTTTTGTAATTCATTTATGACTTTAATTTTCTAAATTTATTGTATTATAATTATGCATATTTTATTGGGATTGTATTTTTGTTTTTTTTACTGTTTTTTTAAACATACGTATGTATGCCACCTAAACGCAACAGAACTGTATTTGCATTGTCTCTTGGAGTTCTTTGGGCTGAACCCGACACTTTTTTTGTAATTCATTATCATTCATTTATATAATTCAATATTTCTGCGCTGCAGTATAATAAAAATATTTGGGTGGCATACATACGTATGTTTAAAAAAACAGTATAAAAAACAAAAATACAATCCCAATAAAATATGCATAATTATAATACAATAAATTTAGAAAATTAAAGTCATAACCAAATTTAAACTTTTAAAGTTAAATCAGCACTTGGACTTGGGCCAGAGATCCTAGAAAGTACTTTGCAACCTTATTTTAGGCTAATAAAATTTTGGATAGTATTTACAAAAGCAACACCAATGATTGGAGTATAGATAATATACTATACAAGTATACTCTGATCATTGGTGTTGGGGAAGACTAATGTCAGCTATAAGCACGTTAAAAGACCCCCTGCCCAACTTAGGACAGCGCGCATCTAAAAAAGCTTGCTTTTTATTAATGTGTATTTTAAAGTGTTTTTTAAAGACAGTTCGTACTGAACCAAGCAACAAGCTGGAAACAGAAATGCAAGTGTGTCACTTTTTTCTTGGAAAAGTTTATGTCAATTTTGTTTTTATGTCAATTTTTGTATAGGCCGAAGATTTCCAAGCACTTACAGAAAAATATTTCTGCCTGCAGCAGTTGTTTGTTCCTCCTTGTCTTAATTGTGGGAACTGTGGCATACTTCAGCCATACTCTGAACCTCGAATGACATTGGGCTCATGTGGTGCTAACAGAAAACAGCAGCAGCCCCCAGTAAGCTGAGACTCCTGTCAGCATTCACTGAGAAAGCAGAACTACTCAGAAACCAACATTTTACGACCAGATTCTGCAAGTGTACCATGAGAAAGAACGAAGTAATGTAAAAAATATGCAACCATACCAGCCGTTTAATTTTATTTCCAAATGCCACATTTCTTTTTTAGCTATCATTTCATTATACCCTCTTCCTTCACCTACCTCATCAGTTCTGCTTTCTCCTGAGAATTTAATAAGTGTATTATTTTGTAACAAGTAATGGACTCATTTCTATCATCTGCATTTCCAGCACATCAGTTTGAACACCTTCTAGTAGGCAAAAGAAAAAAACATTTTATTCTTATTTTTTTCTCATCTACAGTTATACCTCTGTATGATTTAAAAAAGTAAATTCAGGTTATTAAAAAGATGTGTGTTTATTTTTCTTTAATTACAGGTATGTGTTATCTCCCTCTTCAGTTAGAAATACATAATTTCCACTCTGATGGAAATTATTTTACCTATATTTTAATTGTATAAACAATTGTACATTTATATACAGCAGTATAAATAAATTGTACATGTAAATAAAAAATATTTTCAATTTGAAGTTATAAGCAGAATTTGATTTATTTTAGTACAATTTAGTTAATTTTGTAAAAGTCTTTATAAAACAGATTTTCCGGGTGTGTACATGCAAAGCCTTTTTTTAGCCTGTCAACATGAAAAACACAATGACCAGGAAAATAGCAAATATATACATCGCAGTAGCTAAAACAGCAAAAGCAAATATGATAAGCTAAAGTCATTATCAAGTTTAAGAGTACTTGGGATAAAATGCAGTCAGGTACTAAAAGCTGGGTAAACTTCTATATATATTTAACCTTTCATTTTCAGAGGAAAATTATCTCTGTAATTCAACCTCAAGGCAGCATAGTCTATTTCTGATCTCTGTCTTACCTCCATCACTTCTTTCTCAAGTCAATGCAATCACCTGACTTCCCTCCCAGGAATGAGTGACAAAGCCTAACAGCTTTTGTACATCTTGACTCTACCCTTGGATACTGTCAGGATAAAGAGGGAAATACTAATTTAAATCAAGGCAGCAAAGGATAATGTAAGTGTGTGTTGCTCATGAGGATCACACAAAGTGGACATTACATAAAAATGCATTGCTAGGATTATTTGTGCCACAATTAAGAGTAAGTGGAAAAGATTATTTCTTTACACTTCAACATTCATGGTGCTAGGGTAGACACTGAGGTTGTGGAGAAATAGAAGGACAGAGGGCTGTGTGCACCACGTTTGAGCTCCAGAAAGAAAAGCAGAGTAATAATAAAAACAG